GGGTCTCTCATTACCACGCAGTCTGTGAGTGTTCCCCATTGTTCAAAACGGCTCCTCAGACTCTCATCAGTTGTTTCAAAGCTCAGCCCTCCGATGAAGAGCTTCCGTAGCTGTTCGGGCTCCTTGGGAGACTCTGACTTAGACATGACGGCAGTCGGAAGAGAGCCTGATGATGCTTCCTTCGCGGTGTCCACCAGCAGAAAGCCTAAATTTTTCCTTGATAGTGTAGTTCAAGATATGTGCACACAAGGATATTCACTGTAAGTTTATCTGTAATGACAATTTTTAAATGATCTAGATGTTCATCAATGTGAAAATGAATGGTAAGTCATGGTATTTCCATGAACTAGAATACTGTGCAATTATTTTTAAAATAAGATTTATATTACTGACTTGAAAAACAATCCAACTTTTACTGAACAAAGAATATGTATCTAGTCTATTAGTGTGTTGCTTAAAAGCTTCTGTGCATAGACATGTGCACAAATGTTCGCATGCATTCTTATGCAAGCATCAGAGTGCACACGTGGAAGAAGCCAGGTGTGGGGGCGAATGCCTGTCATCCCAGCACTCTGTGAAGTTGAGGCAGGAGAATCACAAGTCTGAGCCCAGCCTGAGTAATTTTGGAACTTACCAAGACCCTGGCTCAGACTATAAAGAGTGGCTAGGGATGTAGCGCAGGACAAAGGCCCTAGAGTTCAATTCACAGTACTACCAAAAAAAAAAAAAAGACTAGGAGAAAATAAAATACTCCAAACTGTACAAAGATAGCTATCTCTGTGTCACAGAAAGGACAGGAAGAAGGAAAATTTTCACTCTTCATGAATTTGTATGTGGAGTTTATTGTATGAAAGGAATTTGCATCCTGCAGTGCAGAATCAGCTAGGAAAGTAAATTCACCCAAATAGCACCATGCAGAGGTCACCACGGGTGACATGTCCATGACCTTCTCATTGGAATACAGACCATACATACCTCCCTTTATATTCTTACCTCCCCACCCCACTAGCCAGTCCTTGTCAGTGTCTTTTGCTGGCTTCCTCTCCCCACCTAACTTCATCTGTCCCAGGCCCAGCCCTCTGTCACAAGTGTCTGTCTCAAGTAGCTGGTTAGGCATGTGAC